CTAGTCTTGTGTGTAGAAATTTCTTGAGGCCATTCTAGTTATTTTTTAATGAATTATTTTTGTGATAAATCTTTCAGAAATCTTTTTCAATATAATCAAGTTCTGTAAGAGCATACATAAGAGTTTTCTCATTATTCAATTTGCTTGTGTTGTGAGTGGATTTAATACTAAAGATGAACTACTAATATTTTGTATAGGAGTCAGTCTGATAGAGCTTTATATATTATGGTAATCTCAAGACTGACAGATGCTTTATAGGTGTTGAATTAAAGATAACTATATCAAGAGATTCACTTTGCAAGTGCTTTTGGGTGATCTGAACAGTATTTAACTTTTCTTGTCATTTTATCATTCTCTTTAGTAGTTTGGTTTTCTTGTGAAGTTGTTGAATTTTATCTCTTAATGTTAAGGTAAACTCTCTCTCTGAAATTGTGATGCTAGTTTTGATTTCATTTACAGTTAAGAGAGCTGAGGTGATTTCAAGATTTATCATCTTCTCACAAACTTGAGTTTGTTCTTTGGGTAGGTTTTCTGCTGGTGTTCCAGATTTGTGAGCTTCAGAGGATTAGCTTCTTTATATTGATACTATTATTGAGTGTCATCAAAAAAGAGTGGCAAAATGTGAAAATTATATGTGTGAATTGGTATGACAATAAATCTATAGAAGAAATTGTACATGAAAAAGAGTACACAAGATAAAAGATATGGTATTGGCAACTATATATAACTTGTAGACAAGATTGCCACTGGCTTCTAACAAGAGATTTATACAGTGGCAGCCTTTTACATGTGCTCACAAGCATGTGACTTAGTGCCTTACAAGAACACATGTACTTTCAACAGCTCACAAGTCCAGGCCCTGAACTCTTACAGGTGTTGTTCATTCATGTAAGGGGTTTGCAGGTGAATTCTTACACTTACAGCAACACAACTATAAGAACTGCAGAACCAGATGAGACTAGATATTAAATTTCTGAACAAAAGAATGAAACACTATTATGACAAAAGGCACCAGAAGATACCAATCTTGAAAGAGAGGAAAAAAGTATTTCTAATTTGATGAAATATCAAAATTAAAAGATCTAGCAAAAAACTCAATTTCAAAAAATTGAAACCATACAAAGTCATGAAGTGAATTGGAAAAGTTAACTACAAACTCCAACTATCTAAAAAGATGAGGATACATCTAGTATTTCATGTCTTATTATTGAAGAAAGCACCATTACATGCTAAAGACATGTCTACAGAAATTGATGAAGAACAGAAATATAAAGTCAAACAAATACTGAATCATTAAAAGATCAGCAGAAAACTTCACTATCTAGTAAAATAAAAAGAATACAATATCTTGAAAAACATCTGAAAACCAACAGAAAATCTCAGGAATGTCTAGATGATTATTGCAACATATTATTAATAATACTTTTATTCAGCAAAGTATTAATGAACAAATTGAAGACAACCAGAAGAGAACTCAAGAAAGAAAGATTACTTAAAGAAGCAAGCAGATTCTGAATTTCTGTTTGCTTAGTCACTCTTTTCTACTTCTTCTTCTCAAGATATTTCAAGTTCTTTACAGACTTTGACTTGAATTCAAGAAATTTGCCAGTCTGGTCACAAAGCAGCTTTTTCTGTTTTTGAAGATAAAGAAGATAAGAAAGAGTTTCTTAATATGCTTGAGCTTGTTCTGAGTCTCAAATAATTTCTGCTAATTAGCAGCAGAAGAATCATTATCATAAATATAATAGCAATTAGCATGAACACACTTGCTACATCAAGAAGAATAACTTAATTTTAAGCAAGTCTTACTTAATAAAGAGCACTGAGAGCAAGAAGAAAGCATCACAAATTCAGATTACTTAATAGCAGAAAGAAGATTATAGAGTGGTATCCAGTTCTAGAATTTTCCATCCTGGTCCCAGATTCCTGTCCCAATTCCTGTCTCAAGAATAGGATTGGGTTGAAGCTCAGCTCAACAGAATGGGACTGGGTTGTTTAACAGCATATTGGGACAGTTCCATGAGAGCTGGAATCAGGATGGGATTGGGACCAGAATCAAAATCTAATAGAATGATCCTGGGACCTGGCCATGACAAAATGAGATAGGACCAGGATTTCAATATTGTATATGAGATGGGACCAGTAAAGTGTAGGATGGGACTGGAAATTCTGATTCTATTTGTATTGTTAAAAGATAATGAAATTTAGTAACAGTTCTAACATAATTTTATCAATTTATTCAACTTTGAAAAAGTAACAAAATTTAGTAACACTCTTTGCATAATTGGATCATATTGCAAGCTATTAGGCTTTAGCTACTTGAGTCTATCTATTGATAACATTAACACATTTCCTGTTCCTCATCTGGATTAAGTAGTGGATTTAGCAGACTTGCAATCTCTTCTCATACAATCTCTAGAGTATCTTGATCATCTTGATTGTCTTGAATAACTTCCTTGACCAACTTTTCATGCAATATGAGTGCTTCATTCAGCATATGCATCTTGTCTCCATGTTTAAGTAGCATGATCTTCTTGATTGTAGATGCATGGAGCTGTAATTGTTGATAATAACATGTATTTTAAGCAATAGTTGAAAAATCAGGCTCTAGCATCCTCTACTGTTCCAGAATTGAAGCTTGAGATGATATCAAATTCTCATTATTTAAATATTGCTGTATTTCATTTTGGAAATTTGCTTGTCTTTAATGAAGTCTCTCAAAAATCATTTGCTCAATATTCTAGAGAAGTTAGCAGAGAGAAAATCAGAATAATACTTATAATAAACATATATTATTTATATCAAGTATTACTTCTCTTGGCTGTTTATATTTCTCATAATGCTTTTTGTAAAATCTCAAAATATGTTATTAGTATATTTTACACTCATTACTGGTCCAATTCTCTGAATCATATGCTCTCATGCAGCATGATAAATAAAGAGCAGCAGCTACAGCTAGCAGCTCACTCTTTGGATACTCAGTATCATTATAGTATTTCTGGAATTTCAAGCTGGCAGCTTTGATAGCTTCTTCAATGTTCTCTCTTATTATTAACTATTGAGTCTTGTCCTTTTTTCTTTCTAAATGCTGGAAAAGATGATTGTAGATTACTTATATTAAATGAATTGTTGGGCCTGTTGTTTTGAATAGTATCTTGATAAATTGACTGAATAGCTGCAACAGTTCAATCATATACTTTATCTGCTTTCAGTCATGATTCAATAAGTGAAGTCTTTGGTATTTTGGTGATGAGTTCTGAATCCATGAGTTCACAGCTTGTTGAAGTAATAAGACATGAACATACATCTTATAGATAAAATTCCATCTGGTGTAAACATCTTGAATCATCTTGTGCTGATTCTCTTGTTGATATTCTCAGAAACATGCAGCAAGTTAGGGGAAGACATTAGTTACATTAGCAACAAGATGAATTTATTGTTAAGCAAAGATTAGTAAATCAACTCAAGTATATCAAGACTGTTATCAAATTTCATTACCTTTCTAAGAGTATTTGCAAATGTGTCTGTTGATGCTAGATCATCAGTAATTAAGCTCTCATTAAAGATAGTGAGTAGAGTATTATTGTCTGGCTAAATCTTGAGATTGCAAACCAGCTCTCAAACCACAAGTTGAATCATATAAGCAAGACAGAGTATTATTCTACTGTCTGCATCCCAATCAGTTGTCTTGTTCAACTGCTGCAATGCTGGCCTTAACTAATGTGTAAGATGTACTTGCATGATATTATTATTTAATGTATTGTCACTTGTAATTACAAGAAGATTACTCTCAAGCTTTCATGCTGCTAATAATTGTTGAAGAATCTCTATCATATTCTTGCTAGTATAAGCACTCTCTAAACTTTCAAAATTCAGTAAATGCTTACAGTACTTTCAATTCTTTGTAATATAATAACTATTAATTGCCATAAAGACAAGATTATTGGGACTTGTCTAATTATCTACTGCCAGAGATATCTTGGTTGTTGAGTCATGATTAAAGAGAAGATTTTGGAATAGCTGATTGTATATATCATTCATGATCTGATATAATGTTTCTCATGTAGGTATCTGTAATGCCATCACAGGGTTGAGCATGGTTATTAATGTGTGAAATGCTGGATTCTTAATAGCATAAAATGAGAGATTCAAGAATATTAATGTTTGCACAAGCTGCTGAAGAAAATTATCTTGATTATATTCAGGAACAGGCAGATCTGAATCTGTTCAAGAACACTTTAGAAGCTGTTACTAAGACACCAGAACTGTTACTAAAATTCATTACATTTGAAAAATTAGAATCCATGACCTATTATTATGTTAACCAGAGTATTATTCTGTCTATCATCAGTTTTTGTATAATCTTTGCTGGTTAAATGCTTCTTCAGATCACTTGTACCACTTCAAGAAAAGTTTGAATAACTGAGAAAGATTTGACAATACTTGCAAATCATCTCTGGAGTACTCTTAGAATGCTCTGTCATCTGATCAAATTTTGATCAAAAATCAGAATAATATTGCTTTGCCTTCTAGTTGGGGTCATTATAGTTCTTATTCTTAACCAACTGAGCAGCTTCAGTAGTCAATCACCAAGTAACAAATAACTTATAATGCTGCTTCTTCCACAATACAAATTGTTTTTTTCCATGTTGAACTATGGTTAATTCTGAAGAAACCTCTGTAGATTTTGCTTGTTTGCTGGCTTCAGTCATTTAATTAGATTTTTTTTTTTTCATAATTAAATTGATTTTTCTCTGAGTTCTGTCTTAGTCAAAAAAGTAACAAAATTTGGTAACAGTTCAAGCAAAATTTGACAATCTCCAGCTAGTTAAACCTATTCTACTCTGCACAGTAACCAACTACAAAATTATTATCATCTACAAAATGAAACATTCTTCTTCAGGAAAATAAAACATTTTACCAATTTAATAGTATCCCATTCTCAAATTGATATAAAAAAAAAACTAAAAATCTAACTTTCTTCTCTAGTTATCAACAATTCAATCATCATTCTTCTCATCATTCTTCTTATTGTTCTTATCAGAAGACACTACAATCTCAAAATCATCTTTCTTCACCTTTTCTAAAGCAGGCAGGCTGTTATTATCTTCAATCAGACTTTGTAATTGGCCCAGAAATTCTCTTATCTTCTTCTCAACTCTCTCTCTTGACACACCAACTACAGTAAGATAATCATAACCATGGTCCATAATCTTGATCTCAAGCTTGACTATCATTTATCAGAACCAGGCCTGCTTATATACAGTAATAGAATGCTGCAGCTGGCTTGTTTTGACCTAAATATGTCAGAATCATTACCAAATTTTATTACTTTTAAATTCTATCTTCTTGTTCTGTCAAGCTTTATTCTCAGTCTCTGTAGTCTTTTCTCAGCAACACTTCTTCTTCTGTTCCCTCTTCTTTTTCTGAGATATCATAAGCTGGTGCTTATGATACTTCTTTGACTTGCTCTTGACAAATTACTTGACCATCAACTGTTTAATAACTTTATTCTCAATCACCTTGCAATCTTCCTCACTACTATTCTGCCTGCAATGAATGTTAATATAATTTAATACAAACTACTGAGGGTACATATTACTTATGTTTGGCTTGAATTCTCTTCAGCACATTATAGTGTGCCTTGTGATCTGTCTCTTCTGTCTTGAATATGTCTTTTTGATGGCCTTTCAAGGCCTGATGGTGCTCTCATGCCACATGAATCTTCTCTCTTATTGAATATTGTTTTGGCTCCATCTTCATAATTGTATGCAATGAGTTGAATTGAAGGTACTGTATAATAAAATTATAAAGTGTATTGATCAACTACTTGCATAGAATGATTACTATATATATTATTTATATTCTATAAACATATTGCTATAAGCAAGCTCCACACATTGTTGCTATGCTGGCTACAGAATAATAATATAAGGTCAGTTTCTCTTTTCTTCTCTTTCTCTTTCTCTTTTTCTTCTTTTTCTTCAGGACTACTGTTGATAATTCTTTCTTCTCCCTCTAATTATTTACTGCTTTGTGAACCCCCTGTACAAGAACCTGTGCTGCAATAAAATAAGTTGTATTAAGAGGTGAGTGCTTGCAGAATACTGCTTTAATACACATTATTTACTGACAAGATGTTAGTTTTCCCCATGCATGTCCATTTTGCACAGCCAGAGAGGAGTAGCACAAGACTGTATTGAAAGAATGAGCCCTGAAGAAGAGCAATTGGCATAAAGCTAATAAAGATATTGATCTGACCAACTTTAATCAGAAGAACTTTCACTTCTGTCACCCCATTTATAATTGAAAGTCTGGCACTTGTATGTCAAAAAGTAATGATTTTTGGTAATGGTCTTGATACTAATTAGTGAAATAGATACTATCAAGAAGATCTGCCACTTCTAGAGCTCTACAGAGCTAATTCTTCTGGTAGCTCTGTTTCAGTAATTGGTTCAGAAAATTACTTTGTCCTGTCATCAAGAACATGAATATTGCTGGCAACATTCTGCTATTAAGTTACTTCAGAAGACTGCTGAAGTGATCTTGTGCACTTTATTTGAGTGTAAGTCATTATTGGCAATGGCACCAACAATTATACTAAGTAATATAGGCTCTATTATGGCAATGGTGTACTGTAAGCATGTTATAGTCAATATTAACAACATGAAGCTCATTTTTGGCATCAGTACTATGACTGGATTGAACTATTTTGGCTCAATTAATGTGTCTGATTATCTCATTTCTGCTGCTCCTGCTTCTGCCATCATTATTCACCACCTGCATTCTGCCTCTGCCCTGCCAACTACTGCTGCTGCTCCACCACCACCACCACCACCCACCATCATCTCTCTGCCTTCCTCTGGCACCAACAGGGTCTCTGCCCATCAAATAGCAGGTATTAGAGCCCCTGTCCAGTTTACAAAGCTGGTTCTGGAGGAGCAGGAGAAGAAGAAGAAGAAGAAGAAGAAGAAGAAAAAGAAGAAGAAGAAGAGAGAGAAGAGAAAGAAGAAGAAGAAGAGAAAGAAGAAGAAAGAGAAAGAGAATTATGATGATAATAAGAATAATAATGATAATAATAATAAACTTGCCATTTAGACAGTTTCTAGTTGTTTGCTGGCTTTGGCCATTACTTAGTTTTAATATTTTGTTTTTTTCTTTTACAATCAAATTGATTTTTCTAAGAGTTTTACCTTCATCAAAAAAGTAACAAAATTTGGTAATGGTTCCACACAAAATTTGACCAGTTTGACTCTTGACACAATGGGGCTGGGAAATCCAGTCCCATTCCAGTCCCACTATGGACCCAGCCAGAATGGGAAATGGAAGCCTATCTTCTCTGCTGAGATAGAGCATGGGACATAATTTTCTATTTGAGGATGGGACTGGGAAATAATTTATAAAATAGGGATGGTAACAGGACCTCAAGCTCTTGAGTGGGATGGGACATGGAACTGAGATTTCATATTTGGAATCCCAGCTGTTTCTAAATTTGGGACTGGAACAAGCTTCAATGGAAAATAGAATCCTATTCCAGTTCTGAATACCAGTCTAGAAGATTATTCTTGTAAACATTAGAAGCAGACAATATGTAAGAATTTGCCTACAAACCTCTTATACAGACAAACAATACCTGCAAGAGTCCAGGGCCTCAGCTCACAAGCTGTTGGAAGTATATGTGTTCTCATGAGACACTAAGTCACATGCTTGTGAGCACATATAAAAGGCCACCACTGTGTGAATCTCTTGTTAAAAGCCAGTGGCAATCTTGTCTACAAGTTGTACATAGCTATTAATACCAAACCTCTTATCTCACATACTCTTTTCTATATACAATTTCTTCTATAGATTTATTGTCATGCTGATCCACACATACAATTCTCACATTTTGTCACTCTTCTTTAGTGATGCCTGACAATAATATTAACATAAAGAAGCCAACTCTCTGAAGCTCACAAATCTGAGACATCAGCAGAAAATCTACCTGAAGAACAAACCCAAGTTCACAAGAAGATGACAAATCTTGAAATCATCTTAGCTCTCTCAACCATGAATGAAACCAAAACTAGTATTGTGATCTTAGAGAAAGAGTCTATCTTAGATCAAGAGATAAAATTCAACAACTTTACAAGAAAACCAAACTACTAAAGAGAATAGCAAAATGATAAGAAAAGTTGAAAACTCTTCAGACCACCCAAAAGCACTTACAAAGTAAATCTCTTGATATAATTATTTCTAACTCAACATCTGCAAAGTGTCTGTCAGTCTTGAGATCACCACAACACACAAAGCTCTATCAGACTGGCTTCTATACAAAATATTAGTGATTCATCTCCAGCATTGAATTCACTTGTGACATAAGCAAATTGAATAATAAGAAAACTCTTGTATATGCTCTTACAGAACTTGATTACATTAAAAAAGATTTCTGAAAAATTTACTGTAAAAACAACCTATTAAAGAATAACTGAAATAATCTCAAGAAATTTCTATATGTGAGGCTAGAAGATCCAGCAAATCACATATGAAACTCTTGATAAGCAATCTTCAATCTTTACAAGAGTTTGAATAAAACTGATCAACTCTACTGCCAATAATTTCTAGAGCTTATAACAGAAATTGGTGAAGAATTTGAAAGCTTTGAAAAAATAAAGAAGAACCTATACATAGAGAACTTGAATGAGCTCATACAAGCTAAACTGGATGAACAGCTGGAAATACCAGATAATATTAATAAGATAGTAGCACTGATTATCTGACTCTGATCAAGTGTGACAGCAGTTCTTGAAAAGAATGCCTTACACATAAAGTCTATCAATTCAGTTGGAAGTGCTTGCAGAGATATAAAGACTAATAACTCAAGACTATAAACAGATAAGAGAAGTCAACTCCAGAGATCTGCTTAGAAGATGGAGAAAGATCTTATCAAGAATTATGAAGCTTTAAGAAAAGAAGAGAAGTGCTTTAAGTGTGGCCAAAAGAAACATCTTACAAAAAACTATTCTAAGAAGAAGAGTAGCAAATAGAAAATTAGAGAGCTGCAAGTAGATAGAATTAATATAATAAAGTTATTCAAGAAAAGTCTTTTTGCTCTCCCTTCTATTGTTCTAGACACATAAAGTCTAACTAACAGAAGTATCATCTGATCAGCACTAATAGACTCTGATTATTAATCTCTAGTGATTAGTTTACAATTGGCTGCAAAGCTAGCACTAGAGGTGCACAAGATGTCTATAGAAATTAAAACTGCTATAGATCATGAGAATATTACTCTTGTGAAAGAGATTGCAAATATATTCTTTGAAGTCTGTAACTCTCAGAAAAACTGGCAGTTATTTTATGAATAAGTAATGGTTACAAACATAAAAGATGAGATGCTAGTGGGTTTGAGCTGACTGTAGCAACATAATCTCAAGATATATTTTTGAGAACTAAGGCTAGAGTTCCAAACTGTATGTTGTGATCCACTTGTGAAGGTTAAACTAGTTAATCTCTTAAAGCTAGTGAAGAGAGGAAAGCCCATTTATATAATAACTCTCTGCAAATCAGAACAGATGATGACAGCAGATCTAGATCTTCAGATACTAGAAGTCTACTATAAACTTGCAGAAGTGTTTAATAACAAGAGAGCTTGAAAGCTGTTACTATAAAGATGATTTGGCCATAGATCTTGAGTCAGAAAAGCAGCCAGAATTTGAAAGAACATATAAACTTTTACAAGCTGAACAAGAGACTCTTTATAAATATCTGAGCAGTATACTAACTTATAGATTCATTTATTCTTTCAAGTTATCTACAGAAGCACTCATTCTGTTTGTATTTAAAAAGAACAGCAGACTAAGAATGTGTGTAAACTATTGTAATCTGAATTCAAAAATGGTCAAGAATAGATATTCTTTATTACTGATTGAAGATGTGTTGTATAAGCTTACAGGAGCTGCAATATTCACTCAGTTAAATGTCAAGAATACCTACTATAGATTGAGAATTCACAAAGAGAATGAGTGAAAGACTGCATTTCAAACTCTACAGAGATTATTTAAGTACTTGATAGTATCTTTTAAACTTACAAATGCACCAGCAGCCTTCCAATCATATATCATAAAGATACTTAGCAAATATCTAGATGTGTTTACAGTAGCCTATCTTAATAATGTGATCATGTACTCAGCTTGTGAGAAAGATCATGAGAAGTATGTGAAATTAATACTTAAGATACTCAAGAATGCAGGCCTTTATTACAAGCTGGCAAAGTGCAAGTTCAATGCTTACAAGATTAACTATCTTGAGTATATCATAACACCAGAGAGTGTTCTTATAGAGAAGAGCCATGTGAACACTATTCTTGACTGGTCAGAGCCAACTAGTAAGAAAGAGATCCAGATCTTCTTAGAATTCACAAACCTTTACAGGTACTTCATTTCAAGATTCTCTAAGATAGCTCTCAGCCTGACTGCTCTCTTAAAGAGAGGAGAAGCAAAGCTAAGCAGGCACATATAAAGAGAGATGAGAAGAGAGGCCAACACTTTCATAACTGAGAAAGATCACAAAGTCTTTATAGGTTTAAAAAGAGTGTTTGTGGAAGCTATTATGCTTCATTATTTTGATATGAAACAGAAGATCAGACTGGAAACAGATACATCTGGCTTTACAGTATGTGATATTTTATTACAGCTGGTAAAGAATAGCATTTGAGTTTCAGTTAAGTTTTATTCACAAAAGATGCAATCTGTGAAGATGAACTATGGCATCCATGATCAAGAACTACTTGCAATTGTGGAGTTATTTAGATATTGGTACTGCTGGTTGGAAGGCTTGCAAACATCAGTTCAAGTTCTTGCAGATCATGATAGCTTGTACTATTTTCAGACTGCTCAAGATCTCTTGTAAAGACAGGTTTACTGGGCACAAAGACTGACAGCCTTTTGATTTACAGTTAATCATGAAAGAAATCAAGAATCTGGCAGATGAACTTTCATAAAGATCTGATTATGCTAAGAAGGCTGGTCTGAATGATACAGAGAATTGTGAGACTGCAAACCAACTGAGAGTAATGCTCACAAAGAAGCAAGAGATTACAGAAAAGTTAGAACTGACAGCTCAAGTTTCTTTCAATTAGAGAGAGAAGAGACAAAATAAGAATACATAACTCATCTTCACAAAGCTTCAGATTGCAATCAAGAAACTACTCATAAAGATTGTCTTGAAAGACACATGTAAAGTAAAGAAGATTACAATACAGATTCAGAAGATTAAAGATTTGGTTCACAAGAAGAATTCTTATAAAAAGAGCAGCTTCAATCTGTTAGCATTATTGCCAAACCTACTGCAAAGTAACAACTATGCAGCCAAAGTTCACAAAGATATTAAGACAGGCATGAAGAAATTCACAACATGGAAAGAGAAGAAGAGTATTTTCTATAGAAATAGTTGCATGTACATCTCTCAGAATAAGGTCTTGTGAATAGAGCTGACCAGATATCATTATAATCTACCTCTTGCAGAATATTTTACTACAGCAAGAACATACAAGCTTATAGCTTGCAAATACTTTTGGTCAAGAATAAGAGAACTGGTAAAGAAGTGTTGTGAAGTCTGTAAGATCTATCAGAGCTTAAGAAGAGTTTACAGAAAATCTCAGAAAGAACTATCACTCTTACCAATTTCAAATTGCTCTTGAGAATCTATTAGCATGAATGTTATTACAGATCTTCTCACAAGCCTGAATTTTGAGAAGATGCAGTTTGACTATATTCTGATTATAATGGACTGACTTATAAAGATGACTCACTTTATTTCTACAATAAAGAAGCTGACATCAGAGAAATTAGCTCATCTCTTTATTTGCAAGATAGTGAGATTACACAGATTATTCACAAGTATAGTAACAGATCAAAGATCTCTGTTTGCAAGTGAATTTTAGAGTAATTTGACTCACATCTTGAAGATCACAAGAGCAATAAGCATGGTGTTCCACCTGCAAACTGATGATCAAACTGAGAGACTGAATAGTGTGCTAAAGCAGTATCTGCAAAGCTATATCAGTTATAATCAAGATAACTGAGTGATGTAGTTGCTAATAGCAGAGTTCATGTACA